TAGCACGCTCATCAGGATTTCATCTAGCGACAAGTCAGCAGAGACTCGGAAACCAAGCAATCGATCCCGGATTCGCAACATCTTTGGCTTGCAGGCATCCCAGAAAGATAGTAAGAGCGAGAGCGAAGCGTTCGAAACTGTTTTAACCCTTACGGATCTGCAGTTGGACGAAAATCTTCAGATGTCGACACTGAAAATTCTAGAACCACATCTCAAGAGTGTCATCAACACGTACTCGAGGTTTAAATTGGCTTGTTTGGATTCCGAAAAGACAAAAACTCTCATTACTAAATGACAACAGTACAATAGTAATATGGAAAAACTGGTGGATGGGCATAATGGTATGTATCCTCAGCAAATGTGTTATATATTTTTACTAAATCACGTCGGATGATGCATAGATAAAGTTGGAATAACCACAGCTGTTGATACCACAAAGAATCAACCCCACTTTATGGTTCCTTTCCCGAGAAACGAAGAATTCATTGGCGAATCACATGTCGCATCATGGTTTAATGCCTATGAAAAAAAGCGGATAAAAGTCGGAAAATCGCAACATAGTGCTGGGCATCTTCGACTTACCCTATGTGGACTCGGGAGGATAGGGTATGTTCTTAGAGACCAGACATTTTATTAGAACTTAGAAGCCATTAACTAATTCCACGTCCAGGAAGACACAAGATGTGCTCAACTTTATCTACGAGTACGAGAATCAACGACCGGTCTTTTAGATCCATGCCGGAAGCGTTACCCAATTTAAAGCCGACTACCGAAAGCTAGCATCCCTTGCCAAAATGCCCGGACACGACGACACCAAGCAGAATATAGAATTTATTAAGCAATGGCTGGAAGGTCCCCAGAGCCGAGAATGGATCCTTGTTATCGATAACGCCGACAACAAGCTGGATTTCTATCTGGAAACCAGTACTGAATCCAAGGACAAGGACACTGTTTCCATTGAATACGATAGAATAGCGGCATTCATCCCACGAGGTTCGAAAGGGACGATTATCTTCACTACCAGAGATCGAGAAGTCGCACTGAATTTGGCGAATCAAAATGTCATAATCAAACCGGAGATGGGCCCAGAGCAAGAAATTGAGCTTTTCTACCAGTATTACTCGAATGCGGAACGCAAATCCGAGGACACCGCTGTTTTACAGCAGATCCTGATAGAATTGCAATACCTTTCGCTTGCGATCGTACAGGTAGCCGCATATTTGCATTTGAATCTCTCAATTACCACATCCAGGTACCTCGAGATATTCCAAGGTACGAAAGAATCTCAGAAGCGCCTACTATCGAAGCCGCATCACAACATTTGGAGGGATAAAAACAAGAATGCTGACACTATCTTAACGACCTTCTCTATCAGCTTCCATCAAATTCAGCAGCAATAAAAACTTGCGGACTTTTTTTTTCAGTTCTTGGCCTGTATTGACAGAAAGGCTATTCCACATGATCTCCTATTCAAGTTTCAGATTAAAATGGACGGTGTCGAAGATGAATTGCTCATTTCCGAGGCGCTCGACAAGCTTGTCAACTTCTCGATTCTCCAGAATCCTAAAATACACTTCGGTAGCGGCCAGGCGTAAGAAATCCATTCACTCGTTCATCTCGCTATGCAAACCTATCTGGAACCCGGAGAGAAGAATAATACTTTGGCCAAGGCGTCCACAGTGCTAGCCGACATATTACCCCATTCTGAATACGAAAATTGGGGGACATGGCGAGTTTATCCACCTCATGTGACGGCATTACTTGCACATTTAATGGTGGAAGATTCGGATTCAGTGGCTATTGCTGATTTATGCATGAAGGCTGGCTGGTATCTTATCGAGCTTGGGCGGTACTCGGAATCTCTGATACTCTACGAACGGGCAAGAAAGCTATATGCTTTTTTGTTTGGCGAAGAAAACACAAAAACTTTATATTCTATGGATTCTATAGGAACTTCGTTCATATATTGTGAACGACTAAAAGAGGGACAAGGAATTCTAGAGAAGGTTCTGGAAGTGAGAAGGCGTACTGTTGGAGAAGAGCACCCAAATAATGTAACAAGTATACAAAATCTTGCGATCACATATACAGAACCAGGTGGAAGTATGAAGAAGGTCCAAGAACTCGAAGAGAAGGCCTTGGAAGTGAGGAGGCGCACTCTTGGAGAAGATCATCCGGATACTGTGATTACCATGCAGAATCTTGCGGAAACGTATAAAGATCTGGGTGGAAGGTTGAACGAGGTTCAACAAATCCAAGAGGAGGTCCTGGAAGTGAGAAAGCGCATCCTTGGGGAAGATCATCAGGATACAGCAAACGCAATGTATAATCTCGAGGTGACATTACATAATCTAGGACGACTAGACGAAGCTATTGTGTTAATGGAGGAAGCGGCTCGCTCGTATTCTCGTACATATGGTAGCGACCATTCAGAAAAAAAGGATGCGGAACGAGTTGCGAAGCGATGGAAAGATGAAATAAAACAAGATGATGGCGGCGCGGATTGATGATGAAGGAGCAGAAGATATCGACGAAGCAGAGTAAGCGGTGTTCGATGTAAGTTCCTCCTCGATCCTATCTCGCAAAAACTATTTGCCATTTCGGTACGTATCATACAATTCACTAACCATCACTTCGTACTGGCAGTTTATTTTGGCAATTTTATGTGTAGAGTTATGTACGTAGAAGCTAGCTACACGTGCATGTATGGTTAAATTTAACGAGTTTCTTTTGTTGTGAATATCTGGGTGAAGGATAAATTACACATTTTTGCGTTTGTTGAAGCATCTAATACATCATCGTGTCATATCGAATGCCTCGAAAGATTTTCAACTTGGGGTCTCAGGTGATATTTAATTCCGTGACTGATTCATAGCTATGGGGGGTTGATGTTGAGGTCATTCGAAGGCGTTGAGGGAGTAGAGCTATCTCGAGTGTCGAGTTAATGTATCCAAAATATTTCAACACTGGGTTGAACCGTTTATCGACCCCGCGCCAATCTGCAAGAGTCGATAAATCGTAATTATCGTGCCTATGGAAAGGATAACCTCCGGAGCAAGAATAGCGACGATGCCAGTGTGAGTGGACTCCCGGGGTGTACTCTAGGTGGAGCGCAGGTCCGAATCTTCTTGCGGCTAATATTTGTTAGAAATCGTCTCTATGTCAATCCCCTCGAGGCCTCGCAAAAAATCATTTATTGCTCATGAAATTTTGAAAACTGTCAGAGTCAAGATACAGCAGTCTTTTAGCCGTATGAGAAGCGTACTTGGTTAACCAAAGTACGCTGACATGTACTAGAACTAGGTATAGCGTAGGTTCCATCGAGCTTTTGAGCCCCATAGCCAAAATCTGTCGCCTAAGAGAGGAAGGAATAAAGATAACTATTTATACGAGCTTTCCTAGGCTCCAGGCCTCCAGAGCCCAATTCAATTTATAAGCGGGTTGTACGTGACGGAATTCTAAAGCGACATCAATCACTTTAAGCACAGTTAGATTTGGAGAAAACATGAGCAGAAAAAGGAAGCAAAGGCCTCTTTTTTTTTACTAAAACAGAAACATACGGGCCGTATCTTCTCCGATGGAGAAGAAAATGGAAACCGTACAATAATAACCATAAACGTTTAGCCTCTTCAGAATCACAACATGATCCGACCCGTTATCCGCGTTTCAGGCGAAGTTCCCTTTCGATTATCACACGCCCCCACGCTCTTTTTCTCTGGGCGTGTCTTTTTTGCATTTCGTAGCAGAAATACACAGCTGCAACATTGATTAACCCGATACCGCTCATCATATCCCTCTTTCTTTGCTTTAACTGCGGCTTTAAAACCTCGTTGAACCTGTTATCGACCGCGCTCAAACTGACAAGATTACAAAGATTACAATGATCGCCGATGGAAAGGATAATATCCTGAGGAAGAGTCGCGACGATTTCAGTGGTGACCGGTTTAATTTTCCTTCTGTAGCCGCAACAACAATGCGGGCATTTTTCGCATTCGACTCCAGGGCTGCAAGTGGTCAAGCGTGGTCTGGGATTATCGCTGTAAACAACAAAGCAATGTGCATTATACACCATATGGGATTGAATTATTAACCAGAAGACGGCCATAAGATGGTGTGACAGTTGGACGGCAGTTGGTTTCCCAAACAAGAGCGCTACAGAGAAATAAAGAGGGACCGGCTAGTTCTCCATGACGGGCGGAGGCTTTCGAAAATGTGTGAAGTGCGCAGGTTGGTTATTCAAGACCGGGTGCGAGAGATGGTGTCTTTTATAGGGGCATGGGTCTTTGAAATCTGTTCAGAAACTCCAGAAGGTCGTAGATTAACTACTTGATCACTTCCGGGCTGGAAGAATAACAAGTCCGTATTACACTGAGAGACGTATAAAAGAGGGATTCCGAAACTTGCAGACGGGGTTCAGATAACAATAGACCTGGAAAATTATTGACCCTTGGAGTGAAGGCTGATGCCCGAAAGGCCATTAGTGTCAATTCCTTCTACATTAGAAGCAATGTTCCAAGTTGACTTGTGTTATTGGGTTCGGTTGAGTTCAGCACCGCGTCGCAGACTTTAGAATTTTGTCGAGATTCGCTAACGTTTATTGAGGGATAAAGCTATGTTTTATATAAAAGCTATCGGCGGAAAGATCTATACAGCAATCTGGAGAAGAGGGAACAAACTCGCCGGTGTTTGACACACCGGGGCTAAGGTTGATCCTTCAACATAGACAGCCAGGACCCCGATAAACTACGGGCGTCTGGACTTAAGAATAAGTTTATAGGCACGAGCGTCATTCCTGGTTCAATCCAAGTCGAAATAAAGACCTGCTGCATTGCTGTTTTGCATTGCACTTCGTCCTCTTGTTCCGCCTATCACCGAAGCTCTGGAGTGAAGTTCTTCCTCCGATGTGGTCTTAGCCGCCAGACCACACGCTGTTTCCTACGCTGCATGCATCCCCATCGCGACTCGGTACCACCGGTAAAAATATAGCCCGTAAAAATTAATGCTCACGAGCGGAATTGAACCGCTGATCTTCCCATTACAAGATTTAACCTACGAGTGGGACGCCTTACCACTTGGCCACGCAAGCATCTGATAATAATGCAGTGACATTTAAAAATATATTCAATAAAATATACCAATTTAAGCGAGATTTTCTTCATAACTCCTCACACTCACCTGCTCGCTGGATCCATGGCTATGTAAGCGCAACGCGCGATGTATAACTTATCAAAGAAATAAATTTCGCTCATCGAAATATTGAATACAAGCCCCGAGAGGCAAGATAATTGTTGATTGTGACATGGGAAATATCTCGCAAGGCCGGTCACTCGAACGTGGATTCGATTAATCAAAAATTATATTGAAATTTCCGCAAAGCCTGAAGCGTTGCGTTAAATTCCAAGCCTTTCCGTCTTAAGACCAACCGCAATTGTACCGAGGAGTATTTTCTCCAGTTCGACCCCTCGATTGTCCACCCTCACCTCCACCTCCAAAGAGCCCCCCATGCGGCACCAAGCACCCCTCTCTGGCGATAACATAAGAAAAGGACAATTATCTCCTGGATATTACCACACTATGGTGGCTCGCTCCCTGAAATGGACGGCCTATGCAATCTTCCCGTGGAGATTCTACTCTTAATCTCATCAAAAGTCGACTGCCACACCTTGGCTTCATTCTGTTCCGTTAATCGCAAATAAAACCTTGTATTCACTAAATGTCTTAAGAAGCGAGCGAAACTTGAGCGGACGGATTTGCATGGGAAATGTTCCAAATCCCGCTCAGCCCAATGTTTGGTGGAGAAAGATTCAGACAAAGCCAAAACATTCAGGCAGGCATCTTTTAGAATCTAGGACGAATACACCATAATTTTTTTCTTATCGATATGCATTCCTGGCAGCCAACGGGCTCCCTAAAGAGATCCGCAACAACGACCAACCCTTTGGCGGCATGACAATGTTGTTTGCTGGTGATTACCACCAAACCTTAAAGCACACTGTATTCACACACTCCAGACTCTTTCTATTCTATGACTTTGTTCTCGAGAACTGCGAATATCGTCACTATCCCCTTTAGTCGTGCACGGTATACACCAAATATCACTCCGCCCTCTTAAATTTCCCTCTCCAAAGTCACAACCATTCACATCACCACGCCATAATCTCCCACCTAATCCCCAAGCCTAATTTCCAGTCAGTTTTCTATACCTGATAACCTGGTTCCCCCGCCCTTTATCCTCTTTACAAATCTTCAAACAAGGCTCAAGCCCAAAATATCGAGTGATGCAACATGCCCACAAGAATTTGTAAACGAGCATCTATAAGTACCTCTATTCCCAGAATCACCTTTATACTGCTTACAAGTATAAATGTCTCAGCTTCATCTTCGGATAATATCGCACATGGAACGTTTATCATAGCTAGCTAGCACCCGAAGCCAATCTATCAGCAGTCATCGAAACGCACTCGAGTATCACATGACACTATCATTTGTAAAAAATCGCGTAACTGTGCGCAGTAAGGCCTTAAGTATCGTGCTATGTAGCTAATGCGACATATGGATTATGGTTTCTGGGAGCTAGATAAAGCTGCATTGTTATGATAAAGTCAGACAACTCTCTACTCTAGCCGGGCTGATCTGTAGAGAGCAGGCAGCAGTTTTGATCGTCTGGATTCTGTTTATCTAATCTACAGCTGCTGCATTTGGAATGCTGTTGTGTCACTACTATACTGTCATGACTTTAATTGAACACTTTACTTCCATTCCTCTACGCGAATTGGTTAAGCCATCACCGCCTAGAGCTAACTCGAGTTTTATCGATATGATCATCGATATGATTCAGACATTTATTTTCTATATGTCATTGACACATGGGGACAGGAGGTTACACATATCTCATCTCTAACCAACCAAATTTAATCGAACAGTTGTTCTCTCTCTCTGACGGGGGTTGGAGTTTTGACAACCTGCATATGCAGGGCTGCTGCAGGCTAGGTGTCTCTTTAGATAGCTATTTCTGGAGCGGTCGGTGGTGTCAAAACTTAGAGAAAAGTGCTTCGAGCTTCGAGGCTTTGAGTTTCTTCGGGTTGCTGTGAGATATATAGGGAGTTGTTTGTGTTTGTAGAAATTTCTCGATGTCATGTACATGTACGTCAGTTCGGATATGTATAATTTTGGGATTTTCTGAGACAACACGATGCACCGGGACGTGGCATCGTAAATAATGGGGTTTAGTTGGTTGTTGGAAGATGACGCAGCACACAGACGTGTCGGGAGAGACTAATGTACCCTCAATGTACAGGCGATCTGATCGTAGGGAGCTGTAGCTGTTGTTGGTCCTGGCGGTTGTGATTCAGCATTCCTTCCGACGAGTACTGACTGCACTCGGTAAGCTGAGAACTGGTGGCCTAAGTTTTGCAAATAAACACATCAGCAAAAAGACCTGGAAAGCGCGTAAAGGTTCTCAAAAGTCCGCCGACGGTTAACCGCGTCGTTTGCCTGTCGATCCTACCGGCCATACCCGCCTGAAAGTAGCAGCTGGGCGTCATATAAAGCGATGTAGTTACATGGTACATACGTGCTGTCGAATATCGTCGGTGCTGTGTGTATCTAGGGAGCGGTCTTCTACCCGCGTTGGCAGTTTCACGCTACAATGATGTAACACGAGTGATGCCTTATGTCTCCCTCCTCCCAGCTCGCGTCGCCAGGTCGCCAGAATCAACAAGGCTGCATCTAGCGCAACACGGCTCAGCCTCGTACATCAGCCTTGAAATCCCGCACACCCCGCCAGTGCCTCGCGACTCGCCAGAACTTCGGGGCTCCGCCAAGTTCCACCACCCCAAAGCAACTTAGTGGAAAATCCGGGGATCCATCTCTTCTCCGCACCAGCAACCAGCCCCTCCTGAACTGATCTCGTCCGCGAGACCGCCATCACCACCAGCAGCTGCAGGTAACCGAGATTTCGACCGACTACGGATCCAGAGGGAGTGGGTTTGATGATGGGAGGATTAACTGAATGAGGACCACTCTGCTCTAGGTACACCACAATTCCAGGAACCGACACTTACGCCGTTACGCGAGAGAGAGCTCGGTAAAACCTTAAAGAGCTTGCGAAGCTTCCGAATCTTTCAGCAACGAGGAGGAAAACACCAGACGAAACTATACTGGCGATTCTGCACACAATTCGCTTCGGCTACAGTTCTCGACAATTTCTGCATACAGCTCACTCTTCACTTCCTAGTGTTGTCCGTCGGAGTCGGAAGCGGGGGTTCTTCCCACCTCGGGAGAAAAGCGTCTACTCAACTCTACCCTGAGCGCCCGAGAAAAAAAAAGTACTGGCGATAAACTTTTTATCTTTATGAATCGTTTCTATGGGCGGGCTTCCTAATTTTCTCGAAGGGTGCCTTTACAGCGGCCACGATGCAGGACGGTTACGGTTCAAGGCGGTTACAGAACTGCAGCACGGAGGAGCCCGATGGCATCAACAAACATGACGAGGCATCGACTTACCCATGTGCACGACCAACATTTCGTTTACTCGAGTCGAGCGAAAATTTCAGCAACCGATCCAAAGGCATTTTGTGCTCGAGGCGAAATTCTGGGGGCAACACTGCGGCACTACGAAATTACGAAGCAGAAGCTACTGAATGAAGCAGAGAAGCTATGGCACCTAACGCCAATCGAAAATGGAAATGTATGGCCTCAAGCGACTTGAGGCTATACATAACAAAAGCCTCGGTGGGCTACTTGCCCCCTTGCCAACAGGTCAGAATGCTCAGCCTCGAGCTACGGCACTTGTACACTTTCTAGACAATATGCACCATTGGACGGATTTTACTGGGTTATTATTCGGATAACCGAGGACTCGAGTTGAATCAGATCGCCGGCCTTAGAGGACTCCATTCCATTGTTCGGCTGGATGATTCGACATTGCGGCGGTATGAGTAGTACCGCACTACTTGTCACCGCCCGCGGCAACTATTACACATCAAGCGACAGTGTTTCTCGGCAGACAGTTCGATTGTTTAGTTCGATGATTCAAGCTTGGCGACAGATCTCGGGGCCTACAAACGCTCCCATGAGATATGGGTTTGTTTCATTTCTTAGGGGTCCAGTACATACATTCAGCATGCAGCGTTTGGTGTACATCTATTGGTTCTCTTTTACCTAGACAGCTAGCATGGCAAAGAACATTTCCGTATCGGTATCTGGATTTCTGGTTCTCACTAACGAAGGACAGCGCGAGATGTGATGATGGGCTTCAAGATCCGCATGAATGTGGAGCTGGTTGTTGCCACCGAGTGAGGGGCTGCTGGATTTCGGTAACATGGATAATACCGACATGGTATGCCTGACCGATGGTTCACGCAGTCTCGCAAGAATGATTCAGCTTTGGATTTCACATCCGGCTATCTTCGGTTTGGTGGTGGCGCTTTGGCCTCCTAGATTTTTACAGTCATCACAGCGGCCCATTCTATCATAATCACGTGAGACTCTCGGAATCGTGATTGGGTCTTAGCATGATGTTGTGAATCGGTATGATGCTGTGTACTCGCAGTCCTGTATAGTGGGTGGGTTGTCAAGTTGGGCAAGCGGGTGAGCATTGTAGGGCGAGGCTCTGTCCGAGGATAAATGGAAGCTCGGGCGGGGTGGCAGCTGTAGCCCCCAGCACAGAAACTTTGAATGTAGAACATCACAACGCGTGAATTAAATAAGAAAGTCGTCTATCTGACCCCATCGAGGGCGTGAACGAGTGATGAAGTTTTAGCTTTGGAGTGCTTGACTTGGTTTCGACACTCCTAGCCCCCCCCCCCCCCCCCCCCCCCCCCCCCCCCTACCACCCTCATCTTCGCTGCGCCAACCTGCTGTTGCCCTCCCACCTCGTCCGTTCCTTTTCACTTGCTGTCACTCGTGCAATCACTCACCTCACTTCGCCCACTCTGTCCCTCTTACACCGCTTCACATCACTCACACTCGCGCACGCAGAATACATATTCTCCCCCATCAGCCCCCAACGCTTCTGCGCACTCTATCCTTATCACAATCGTGTTTCCTCGCTGTATCCAGCATCCCAGCCCTGAAACCTATCTC